TTTTTTAAGGTTGAAATCAGACAGGCGCCTCTGGCAGCCGTGTTTAGTCCGTAGCGATTTCACCTACCCACCCAACCCACCCCAGGGAGGACATCCATCACACAGTAATCTCGTGCGTGGGAAATTAACGTCTCCTACCCCAACCCTGCAGGAGACGGGACCTCCATTTATTCGTCCCTATCCGAGAAGACTAGAATATCTAACCATTTCTTGATGTTAAAGAAAGGAAGCATATTCTTCTCAATTAATTTTAAGACCCTGAGTGTTGGTCCGGCCGGTATTGAACTCTCGACCTCCCGCACAGCAGTCCGGCGCTCTCCCAATTGAGCTAACCAGGCGGCGGTTAAAGAAGAAGTTCTTTCCAGACTAATGACCAACCAGGCACTTTTAAATGCGCTCGTGCGCGATGCAAAACGTGTCCTTTCATTCACAACACTGAGAAAATATCGGGACCCTAACGATCCATTAAGATCACCGATCACTTCACGTGCACCTCCGCCAATACAATCTATTACATAACTTGCACTTACTGCAAAAAGATATACATCGGCGAAACAGGCAGAAGACTAGGTGACCAATTCCGAGAACACCTTCGCGACGTGGAGAGGAATGACAGGGACCCACTGAAACCAGTCGCTAGACATTTTAATTTACCTAACCATTCTAAGCAATACATGGCAATCTGCGGTCTTTCCTTAGGTAACACGGAAAGCCAGAAAACTCTTGAACAAAACCTTATCTTTCAAACCGGCAGTCTAAATCCCACAGGTATCAACGAACGCTTTTCATTCCACTAATTTATTCGTGTTTTTCTCGTTGCCATGTTCCCACCAATCACGTAGCTCCTTTTTCTGCCTTTAAGAGCGCACACAACCCACAATTCCTCTATTCGCTCCGACGAAGGGCTGACGCTCGAAACGTCAGCTTTTATAATCGTAACGGTGGCCAATTTACCATTTCAACTTTGTTGATATATTCAATTTATGACTAATATGTGGTTCTGCGTGGAACTTAAATGATCACGTCCCTAATGGACAAACAATAACGTCATTATTGCGGTTTTACACGAATCAAACTTATAGCAAATCAATCTGCGGTGACAAAGGCGTAGCAGCGTTGCAATCATGACGTCATAAAGGGTATCCTTCAGCAATTGAATGTCAATTACCTAATCGCGTGAGGTTAGAAAGGTATATGGGGTGTTTGTTCGTTTACTGTAAGGCTAAAGTGAAACGCCCTTTATAACTTATATTTCTAAACATTTCTGTGTACACAATACTTTATAAAGGTGTTAAATCTTGAATATAATGGATAGCCTTGGTAGCATTGGACAGGCTTAGAAAATATGCGTTTTTGTGTTTGTTTGCTTGTTTGTTTGTTTGTTATTTAGGTCACACCTTCAACACTTATCATCTCAGAATGCAAGGAACCCTTTTATCAGGAACTTACTTTAACACCTATGATTCCGGTGAGAAAAAATCAACACGATCGCTACCTTCACGTGAAATTTTATCTCCCTGATGGACTGTGGTTATTTAATAAGGAAAAGTGCCTCGTTGAACTAAAAGAAACTACCCCAGTGACAGTTAAGATTGGGGCCACCTGCACAGCCCTGTATGGCTTGACAAAAACAGCGGTTATTACTCCCTGGTTAACCAACCATAAACAGAGTGATTTCTGGGCATACTTTGGCTTACCAACGGTCTGGGTAAGTACTGTGTATAGTTTTCACAGCTGTAGGCGATATGCATTTTTCCTGTTTACTAGCACTATACAAAGATACTGGAGTCTAGAATGTATTGTTCATTAATTAATCAATTTATGTACTTATCCATCCTTCCTTCCTTCCTTCTTTCATTCATTCGTTCCTTAGTCGCTAACTTACTTACAATTGAACAGGTCTACTTAAAGTTCTGTAAACAGATTTTCAACACCCGTAGGATGCATCAAGCATTGCATGGAGAGCAAAACTTTAATAGTTTCCAGCGACTGATTTGAGAAACAACTAACTCCTTGCCACGTGGAGCATTCTGCAAATCAAAGATCATCTTGTAGTATATTCAGTTTTAATACTCATGATTGTACCCGATAACTCAGCACAGGAAAACCAAACTGCCCGTTTTAATATGTAAATAAGATTAAGGAACGAATGTACTCAACAAAGCAACATTTCAATCAAAAATTCACACCCAAAAAAATTAAACAAGGTCACCAGATTATCTGAAGATTATTGGAAATCTAGCTCATTTAGAGTAGAGTAAGCATGATAAGAATACAAACGTGAGAGTGCGAAAACGGAGGAATAGCAGTTTCCATAGGACGGAGACCCTGTCTGGTATGTAAAGCGAATGTCATGGAAGATGAGATTGATGTGTCGCTAAGGATACCATGATATCCGACCAGTTATCAAATCCACCATCCGAGGTCCATGTAATGACAAAAATGATAATAAAAATAATAATGATAATAATAAAATAATTGATTAATTAATTAATTAACATTAAAAGTGAAACCATAATAAAATTTTGGCGTCATGAATAGGATTTACAACGCTTTGCGTTTCTTATTCCTTCTTTCCCTCAGGTGTATGTAGTGCAGAAAGATCAGCCAATACACAAATGCTTGAGTGTTACTGATCCTCACTATCGCATGCTTGATAAACAGAACGTTCTAAGGTATACTCTCTTTTAATCTTCTAGAGTTAGGGTACTTACCAGTCGATGGGCGATAATTTAGGGATTTAAGCTTCATGGTTCATGAGGGGGTAAGTCTATTTGAAGCGATGCCTCGGCTCTGTTAATAGAGCACTTCAGCATGGACGATGGCAATGGCAAAGAAAACGTCCTTGGAATATATAAGTTCTCGTCATTTTTATTGAACATTTTCGCGTAAATTCCTACCTGAAAGACTGGTTAAATGTACAAAGCTATATAGAAACTAAACCAAAACAAATGAAGTCAGAGTTAAAAAAAGTTATAAAAATATATATATACAGTCATGCGCCCACTTTCTAAACTAATTTTTTTCATTTTCCATCGTTGTTTGTAAGGGAAGGAAATGTACCAAAACATAAAAAGTTCGTGTAGGGCGATTAGTTTTGCTCACTGAATGCATCGTTTTGTAGCGATCAATAAGCCCTGGCGATTGTCGTTACAGCAGGATGCTTATTTCTGGAGGGTGTGACGTCCCTCCCTTAAATTCCCCCAAACCAACAACTAAAATAATGGGTCTGCTTTCAGAGCATGCCAGTGATACTTCTTTGCTTTTATATGATCGTTACGTAAACAATCCTCTAGAGAATTCGGCTAACGAGAGTTATAGACGCCGTAAGCACCTTCAAATGTACGTACGTTTAACAATGCTCCTCCCCTTTTGAGTTTTTTTGGTCCTATGTAAAATTAAGTGGAAGTGAACTTCTTGTGCCAATTTTTATTGCAGGTATTTCTTGGAAAATAATATGTTTTTTAACTTCGTATCCATTCTTCCTTTGATATCCATAACATTTTTCTGTGTTAGAGAGAGATGGCATGATTTCTTTGGCTTCGGAGATTTTGTTCTCTATCATAACAAAGAAAAAGACTTTGAGGTAAGAATTGCTGTTCGTGGATAAAATAATGGAAAAGAATAAATGTCAATCACTTGACCAATGAGCCATGCTATTTGTTAACCTGACGGAACCATATAAGTCGGCTGGCGCCTGGTGCATTGTCATCTTTTGACATTTTACTTGTACTTATAATGATGAGACAAAAACTCCTTCGTAATGAACTGTAGCTTTAAAACAGTTTGTTGTAATTTATCGTGCTTGCGAGAGTAAATTAACTCCATTCCATTCTATACAAGTAGAACTGATCTCATCCTTCGTTATAGGATAACAATGTGTTATAATCATTTTTAAGGTACTTACAAGACAATGGGCTTGCAATAATGCCAAATCAATAACATGTAACTGTGGAGTTATCATCCGCGATCACAACGATCTCATCAAATTCAGCTGCTGCGGTAATCCACGGAAAAAGTTTCGAGATAGTACAACACCCATAGTGGTTGACATACCACGCGCAAAGTGCCTTGCGCCTGGGATTACCTTACTTCAAGTAATCCAAGGCATCAACAGCAAATACGAGGTTTGTCATCACAATTGACTATATTATGTATAAAATCTTCTAATCTGAACTCCTTACACACTGAGAACTAGAATCGCATTTAATCTTCCATAAGTGCGATGAATGGAGAAGGGCAACGGGTAGAACGTAATTAAACTGTTAGGGTTTCAGGAACTTGGCACAATATTGTGTGAGCCACCTAAGGCACAGTTTAACCCCGCAGATCGTAGACTCGATGACAGTTTTGAACGAACGTACGTCTGGTCCAATTACTTGTGAATGTCTTTAATAATCTGCGCATGTTGTAAACAAGTGCCCAATACTTTGTTTGCAAAATTGATGTTAAATGAAATAGACTATAGCACAGCTTTATCAACCGTAGCCAAAAATAAAGGAATTTTCTAATGCTCACTAATGTTCAGTAAAAGAAAGTAATAATGATTAAAAATAATGTAATTCTTTTTAAACTCAGGTTATAGTGCCGTCCGGCATAAAAGTGGTGTTGGAGAGAAACTCCTGGGGTATTGATGTTACTATTTACACTCCACGCGCCAAGAAACGTGAAAATGAAGACGGACTGTGTACATATGAGAGTCGCCATGGGGATTTTACCACGTTTGGAAACAATCTCAAGTGGGGATATAATTTTCTTTCTATTAAACGGAGATGGTGGAGATTTTGTCATTAGGCTACATTTGCCTCCTTTTTTTTGTCCTTTTCAATCGAGATAATTTGGAGTTATGGCTCATGTGGTATAATGCCATAAAATTTTTCTTTAAGTCAAAAGTTTCGAAATCATCAAAATTGCCCTCCTTTTTCGAATTCCTTAGGTATAGCTCAATTGGTAGAGCGCCGGACTGTTGTGCGGGAGGTCGAGGGTGCAAGCCCCGGCCCGACCAACACTCAGGGTCTTAAAATAACTGAGGAGAATTTGCTACCTTTCTATAATATCATGAAATGGATAGATATTCTAGTCTTCTCGGATAGGGACGAATAAATAGAGGTCCCCTCTCTTCCGGGGAGGAGGAGGGGAGACGTTGATTTCCCACGCACGAGATGACTGTTTGGTGGATATCCTCTCCTGGGGTGGGATGGGTGGGTTTACTGGGCCCGCAGTGATTGACGCAAGTTGTTGCGTGCGGTGTCCCTGCCTGACGGCGAATCTAATAAATTAAATTCTCGGGGACACAGTTTTGAAATGGATATTCTGGCCACTCGAATATTAAACACGATCTGCTTACTTCAATCTGAAATTGATCAGTGTACTTCTTTTAAAACAAGAAGTATATCAGGGTACATTTATGCCTAATCACCAATGATGAGAAGAAGATTGAAATATTTGTCAAGTTGTGGCACCGAATGCTTTTGAGATGTTATCAAACGTTTTACGTTTTAAAATTTAAATTTTCATAAGAGACAGCCAAGCCACTTCGACCAACTTCCATCTGAGATCAACAAACAAGATTCCCAACTTGAGCGCGCCTGCGCTTGTGATGAGACCACACAAAAAAGGAACGAAACTAAATGTGTGGATGGTGTCCCAGCTTTCTGGTCACTTGCAGGAATTGATAAATTCAACCGAATAAAAAGGTGCGATAATGATCCAAACAAAAGAGATTTACAGTGGTCGGACGACTTAACAGAAGAGGATTATGAATTGTTCTTGGAGCCTTTAGACTCCGAAGCTCATAAGAGGCAAAGGCGATCAGCTAATGTGATTTCAAAGGAGAATGCAACTCGATACTGTGCTGAGCGATTGGCGGAAACAAATGTTGGAAAGATGTGTGCTAAATTAGGAACAAATGTCCAAGCGCTGGTTACCGTCTGCGCATCTGATATTGAGGTACCGGTGTATATGTAGACATTTTATTCTTCATTCATTTTTTTGTTTGCCACAATAACGTTTCATAATAGAGCCGGATGCGAGGTAGTTCCTAACTTTCTTTCAATATGGCACAGCAACATTGTGTATTTTTTAGACTTACTAAAGTCATTGGCTTCTAAGGACGTATACAAATGTGAATAGTAGACTTTAAAAAGCTTGATCATCTGTAGAATAGTTATCTTTTTGTAAATTTTCTTCTGTCACATCACCCTACAGTATAAAAGGGTTAGGTTCTTCCTGTATCGATTTCCCGAAATTCTTTAACTCAAGACGAAAAAATTGCATGCAAGATCGAAAAATCTCCGTCTTCGAAAATTATAGGGGTCAATAATTTAACATGTGCTGTATTACCTGTATTGTCCAGGAGAAGGGGTTTTATCTCGAATTTCCTTTGGGTATATCCTTTTGGCAGCTGGGGCTTCTCCAACGTAATTCTATGAGTTTTTTAAATAAACAAGAAGTTAATAGCTCCAAATTTCAAAAACAACGTGCAGTTAATGATGCATCAAAAACAGAATTTATTGAATAACTAATACTGGATACATGTCTACTCATAAATATTTCGTATGTTTGCTGAACGGTTCTCACAGCTCATTCATACTCTCAATGTAACAACAATCATGTGTGATTAGTGTGTTTTTTTCCGTTTGCAGTACACTGGAGACATTTCCTTTGCAGTTGGTGCAGTTTCAATGTTGATGAATGAATGCAACGATGTAATCATAGAAAACATAACTGTTAATTCCAACGACACTGGAAATTTTACGGCTCCAAAGACGCCGAAGATGCCTCCTACAATGCAAAAGATAGCTCAACTTCTTTGTCCCAACGACTGCACCTTTAACGGGAAATGTGTCAATGGCTCTTGCGTTTGTAAAAAGGACTATACAGCTAAAGATTGTTCTATATCGGTTTATCAAAAACCCTTTATTGCAAGGTGAGTTAAAGAAAGTCTTGCACCTTTAGAAGTTTCGTTCCCCTCCTTCTTCCTGGTTTCCCAGGCAAATTGATTGTTTCTGGAGGCTTTGAAGAAATATTTAGGGTTTTTGGAACCTTGATTGAGCGCTAAGGCTGCACATTGCAAACAGTTAAACTTTACCCATTTTTTGACAATAAAAATAAGTTTTGATACCAACATTGTCGATAGATTTGCGTTTCGTAGTCAAAATTCTGTCTGATGGAACCTAGTACTACGCTGCTTCCATTCTTACGCTTCAAGGTAATGGATTGTGTGATAGACGAAAACGACCGTGCAAGAAGGTTTCTGTACAAGGAACTGGTTTCCTAAACTCTACCAATATGACCTGCCATATCAAGGAATTTGAGGTACAGCTGTACTTAAAATGATATCATATGACTCCACTATCGCGCACCTTCAGTATTTTCTCACAACATAGAATGTAAATGCATTTAGTAAACTGATAATGCGGAAGGATGATTTGAAGGCATGATTAAGCTGCTTCGTTAATATTTTTCTTTCCTGTTATATGATAGAGTTAGATAAGCTTATTAATTATACTTCATGTCCCCAGAAGTCAACATTTGTAGCAAGTATTGACACTTTCTTTGAAACCAGCGCATTTTTTTATAAAACCTTTCAGGCGAAGAAATGCCTCCAATACTTACGCCTGAGTTCAGAGCTTTTGTCGAATTAGCTAACGAGTGCTTCCTTTCATCACTTACGCTAGGTTGTAAACAGTTCTTGGATACCAAACAAAAATGAAACAAAATACCCAGGAATAATGACAGACCTTGTTCTCGTGGAGTGCTTCTTGCCGGATTCGCCTGTCTTAAGAACAACTTATGATGAATACCAGGAAGGAACACCAGCTTCTGGACTGTTGATATCTGTATCTAACAATGGCATCCATCAAAGCGAGCGGGAACTTAGATTAATATCCTACGATTCGGTTTGTATGGAGTGCAATATTTCCACGGGATGCTCTCTGAAGGTAATCACCATTTTTCTAAAGATTAATTATTGGATGAACAAAGTAGATTGTTTCAGATTCAATTTGTCATCATTACGTAGTTTGTCACATAGTGTCACTTGATGCTCTGACTCTCAGTAGAAAAGATTTAATCTCTTGGATTTTTCGATTTTTAGACAGCCACGTCAATAAAAACCAAAATTTATCTAACATGATTAATAAGGACGGAAAATTAGATTAGGAAAGTAAGCGCAGCGAAGAAACCGGAGAATTTTCAGAACCAATTTTGTTTTTTTCCTTTAAGTTTAAACGCTTCTCAGTAAAAGTTTCAGAAAATTTTAGATGGTCCTGCAACACTATAAGAATGTGTTATCTTTTCAAAAGGATGTGCCTTAACATGCTCAATCACGGTTTGACACCAAAAAACGGACCATCTTCCATTAAGCCCGTTTTTATGTTTTCTTCATTTAAAGTTAACATTTGAGGTGTCTTGACAGGCCATACCGCCTTTAAGGTAACTTTATATTAAAGAAATAGGCTCACTAAAATTGTGCACTGGTACAGATACCTAAATTAGATCATCCAAGGTTATAGCACTGCATTAACATTCCATCAATGTTTAACTGCTGGAAAGCGCCGGATTAAATCATAGCAAGAGAATATAAACTCTTGTTCGCTTGATAAGTGTAATCGGGGCATCATGAAACTAGGAGGAATTTTATTTTTCTTTGAAGAGAGGGCAGCGCTACCTTCTATTTTCATTGTACAACCTCTTGTTCTTTCCGATGATGTAGAAATTGTCTGATATTAGTAGCTACATGCAGTCTCTGTCTCTTTAATTCTTTTTATTTTAGAATAACTCTTGCTTTATCAATCGTTATTGCTTTTCGCTTAACGAGCCAAACCCAAAGGATTGGTGTGAACAGTGCCTCCCTGATGTTGGTACAAACAGGTGGTCTAAACGACAAGGTAACGTTGACGAATGAAGACATTCACAATGTATATGTATCAAGCCGTGTCGCGTGGCTGTTGGGCTTCTACCAAGTCAGTAACCCCCCCCCCCTTTTTTTTT